CTCTAATCGAAAACTCAAAAGTATGCACGTTTCGACTCATTCACAGGTCGAAATAGGAAATAAATTGAAAAGTAGACATGACAACATTCTTCATTAGAGAAAACCTGCTTAAAACTTTAGAAAAAAAAACACTTTTCAAGCTCTGTTTTTAGTAAAAAGTCAAGAAATTCCACAAAATATTCGTTCCAAAACTGTGCATATTGAGAAGCAATATGTACGAGATAAAGTTTGATGAAATCAACCGATTTGTATAAAATTCAACATTGTTCATGGCAAGGATAGACGTCCAGCTAGGTAAAAATAGCCGGGATTGAAGATTACACTATATCTCATCACCAAATATTCTTTCCAATAGTTCTACTAGTTGAGAAATCGTCTGTAACAGATAACAATCGATAAGATCCATCGGCAGGTTGAAAGTCTAGGTGAACGAAGGTTGGTGTTACTGAGAACTTCAAAACATATCATCACCGAATCTTTCATCTCGCTGTTATATCAATAGAAAACTCATCTGTACCACATGGCAATCAATACGTACTATCATGTCACGACCAATTATTCGTACCAAGAGTTGAACCAACTGAGAAACGGTGTAGATGTCAGTGTCCATTTCATTCTAACATCAACATATTTACCCAGACATTCATACCCATCTCCAGAATACGTACATCCACATTTATCCAGCCATCTACAGCCATACTTTTTCATACTCATCCATGCCCTAGTCTCACTCGCAGCCACACGCATTCACGCGAACACAGACACTTCAACATCAACACTCTGGCAGGCTCCTCCAGACTTTCTAGATGAATAAACAGGATTGAGATTAAGGAAAGAGTATTGTAAATAGAAATAGAACAGTGCACATTTTTGTTTAAAAGTATAGTTAAGTCTTATTTCGGCAAGCATTTTCTTCTTTCGTCTCAGTTGAGAGTTCTGTATCATACGATGATAATAAAAGTATATGTTGATGATTGTTATTGTTACCAAGATTTCTGTCTTTTAAAGTGAAAAATCCATCAATTTTGGCATAGGACACAAAGAGCATTTTCTTACATCCATGTTCTTACATTATTTTCAAGGAAAACTAAATGAACTATCATCATCGATTTGTTTTGAAAAACGAGACATAATGCCTATGATATTCTTCTATGATTTCGCTCTTATGTCATTGTAATCTATATCTTGTTGCAAAATTAGTTCATTTTTACATTAATATGTTTCGATTATTTCCCCATGTTTAGGTAAAAGTAACACATAATAGTTTGAATCAACATATCGTAAATTAAATTCTCTTTATAAAGAAAGAACTATGACACGGTTTTCGTCCAATCAATGCAAAACAGACATACACTTAGCTAGTAGTATGGACTCTCTAACAACTTTATCAAACAGAAAGTAAATTAAATCCATTATATTCATGCATAGTCACAACAATTTAAAATGCTTTTAAAATACGAAACTGACAAATACATTTTAAATTCTAATTAGCAATCATCGATAATAACGAAAGTTTTGAAACATGGCAGCAATATCTCAATCTAATCCCTGTTGCTTGTAAAACTCGTTTTTCTTTCTCAGTTATTTCATGGTCATGAGTCTACTATCGACGTCAAAATGCAATGCACCTGAATATCAATAACTACTTATTGATAATTGAAAGAAAAGAAATATAAACTTTCAACAGTATGAACTCGTAGGTGTTCATTGAAGTTATTGAAAGTTAATTTATGAAAATAATCATAATGAAATTTCACGAGTTTAAAATCAAACACTTTTAGATTCAAATCGTTACTTAAAGGAATTGACTTTTATGAAATCAATTTATATATTAAAAAGTTCTAGTATAATATTAATGCTCTATTTTGTACCGTAGTGTTAGAATCTTTTTTTATTTCTTGGAATTAGTGTGCAGTAAGATATTCTTTCTGCGAAAATAGAATATTGTACTTATCGATGTTATGTCCTTAATTCTCTGCGTAGTGACACACGGTAAAATATACAATAAAAGATAAGAGTAAATATGAATTTTGATTCCAAAAGTTGTTATTGATATAGATATGATTCTACTTCTTTAGGAACACATTTATCTCATCATTGACTCATGTTTATTTAATAATTGTTAAGATAAACTTTAAAAAAGAATCTTTATCTAAAGAAATCATGAAAATCCTTAGATTCAGTTTTTATTCATGACACTTGATATTTTTCTCGTAGTATTAATGACCGAAGAATGTGCTTGCAGCAAGACTTTACTATTGACTTTACTTCGAAATATCCTTAATAATCAACATTGTTTAAAAGAAAAGGTATTCCTTTGAATACATAAATATAATTTCGCAAAATACTTATGAAAACTTCTATCAATCGTTTACTTTACATTGTTATTCTTCTGAATACAATTATGGAGAACGATGCTAACATCATGGGAATATAGAGCAATGAATTTTTCTGTATGTTCTCTATTATTGAAACCATTACTTGTCAAATTGACTTACTTAAATATTCACAAAAATTATTGTTTTATGTTCACACAAATAAAAAATTGCAATACGGATAAATAAATAGATGTTAATCTTATGGAGTTTACATAGGTATGAAAATTTGTTTTCAAAAAGAAAATCGATAGATTTCTATAGAATGAAATGCTCAATATAATGTAATTAACATTAAAAATTAAAATACTTTCCTGAATATGTCAAACATAGAAAAAACATTAGCTATTCATGATGAGTTACTTATTTCTAATAGCTATTATCACAGAAGAGATACTTATCTCATCCGTGAAAACTAGTCAATTTTTTTCTCTTTATCTTTAATAACAATTACGAATTCCTTCGTATAAACTTAGTAGAATTTAATACTTTTAGATATCTAAGGTATTCTGCATGTTTCTATTTTTATTTTTATTTTTTGCATCGACACAAGATGTGAGTCAATAGTTGTTATGATTATATCTATGTAACAACACTTGAAGAATCCTATTCCTAGATTTGCATTGTTTCTCTTTCACATTATGTATTGATGATAAGTAAATAATGAATTGAAAGCATCGTGTACTAACAGAAAAAGATAAAGGTATGTAAATCTTGTTTTATATATGATATATGTTTGTTATTAAATGGCAGTTAAGTAAAAATTCAACTAATGCTTATCTTTATAATAGATAAAAAAAACAACACATTCATATTATATATTCATTTTAACTGATTGTAAAGGATCTATCTAAGTTTTTTTTTATTACTACAGAATATTTATAGTTAAGCTGAAAGTATATCAGATAAATTCCAATAGGAAAAAATGAATGAAATTTCAAATAGTATATTCTTATATTTGTGTTTTTATTAAGCAAATGTGATAACGTATTTCAATCTATAGTTCATGATTCTAATTTGAAATACTAACTGCTATTTCATTCTATGATTTTGAAAATAATTTATATGTACTTTGAACCAAAGAAACACTTATTTCACTATTGACTATAATTAATCGATAGAGTTTGAAATATTTTAATCTATATCTAATTTCATTCGAAATCATTTTAGTAAAACAAATTCAACTAAGTGATTTCAAATAAATTAATTTGTCTGCTTTTTGTTCTTGAATTAGATTATTAAATTTGCAGAAAAAAACCCAGAAAAATGATTAGCATTCCTGTGAACATCAATACCGTTTATATACCAATTGTTCGAAGTAAGTAATAGATTTTTTTTAAGTTGGTAATGTTTCTATTTTTTTTCATTTCTCAGTTGGATGTTTTAAAGCAGAATTCGATTCAACATACCCAATTCATTTAAATGGTATAATTAGTCCACATGAATTTCAAGAATCGATTAATAAAATAAATCTTAGACTAACTTCAAATAAAAAACTTTCAACTATTTGTTCGATTATGTTTGCTCTGACATTGATATTTGGACTACTAAGCGGTGTTGTTGGTGCAATAATACACAGAAAGTCTTATACAGCTTTTGGTGTATTACTTGTTTTTGGAGTATTTTTGATGGTTTTTGGAGGAATAATTTATGTTATAGGAATTTTTTTTATACATCCAAAACGGACAGCACAATTAAAACAGGCCATTGCTGAAGAATCAATGAGATATTCATCAAGATCACCAACACCATGTAGCTGGAGATTAGATACTTCAAGAACTCGGCTTGAAGGACATGCAAATCATCATAATAGTAAACAAATACTTTGTCAGGTAGTTCTTTTTTTCATTAACAACATCATTTTTTTCTAAGAATATCAGTTCGAACTAAAAAATAGTCAATAAAAAAAATATCGATGTCTAATATGTTTCCGACCTATGAAGATTAATTTTGATTAAATATATTTTGATATATTTCTCTTGTTCTTCTTTAGTTAGCAATAGATATTGATTGTTCTGATCAACAAGAAAATGTTAATCGAATACATTATTCGAATAAAGCTGCTCCTGAATCAACAGAATTCGTGCCACCAGAAGATAGTGACGCACCTCCACCATATTCTGTTTAAATCACAAGTTTTTGTTCTCGAATTGGTATAGCATAACAAAATATTTGCAGCGGAACTTTGCTCATCACGCGGTTATTTATTTCATAATATTAAATCTTTATGTTTCTCTTAATGCTTGCAGATGAATAATTAAATGATTATTTCTTCTGCATAGAGCATGTACTTTATATTATTGATTAACCTTGTTTTTTATACATAACAGAGATTATTGTTATTATAAATCTAAGAAATATTCAAGCCTATTTAAAAGGATTTAAATTAACTGAGGCATAATGTTTCAAATGGACAAGTTTTGTTCTATTTCAGTGAAAGCTTAATCATAAAATTAGTTGATAAAGTGAAAAATTATTTTCATTCTTAGATATGAAACAAGAGCACTTTCCTAGCTACATGAATTTTATAGTGTGGATGAATAGAAAACTCTTATATCCACAGTGGATCTTGTTGTATCATCGTAGGAACTTTACCAACTGTTTTAACCATATTCAAAATTTCTTATGCGTCGTGTAACATGTAAAGCTACTTTTTCAGAAGTTTTTATTTATGCATCATTGGCATATAGTGCCTTTATAAATGATACACAAGTAGGCATCGGTAAAACCAACTTCTTTTGATCCCGGTCCTGACCTCAATTAAAATTTTTTATTGCTTCTAGTCCTAATTTGGTTTCTGAAAAAAACCACATTTTTTTAATCATGCGTATGATTTTTAGAATATATATAAAATTAACATTGATGACTTCGAGAAATTATTAGTCTGAGCATATCTTTATATGCATGAATCAAAACTAAAATACAAAATCAGTTCTTTGTTTCACTCAAGATTTTTCTTGGTTCTGGCTGTGTGACTTAGGAAATTCTTTCAGAACTGATACTTCTTGCATAGATACAAAGTCTAAATGAGTGAGCTTTAATTAGTGTTTCCTCAAAAGTCACTTTGATAATATCAAAAATTTAGGATCTGTCGAACTATGAGTACTATTCTTAGTAGCGACTTTCAAGATGGTGCCGGTTCTAGTTCTGAATCGGAACAAATAATTTTGCACATCCATAATTTTATCTCAATCATAAATAAAAATGGTTAACTGGTCGATCATTAGTCAAAACAAAATAATAAGTATGAACACGTGTTGCCTAGTTCTTGAGCAGAAAATATAATGAAACCAGTTTTAGCACGTTTAAAGTCTTGGCTCCGTTAAAATTAAAATTTGGTGTCGATTATGATCACGAAGAGTCCAGGATAGAGATTACTTTGCAGTTCTCTATAAACGCTTCCAACGTTTGTCAGTATTTTCAAATTGCTATGCAATTATTCAAAATTGTTTAAGTTTGTTTTATTTGTTCTTCTCATCTGTTTCTGGGATGTCTTAAATTCTGATGCTGAAAATCACTATCATCCGTCCATGAATACAATCTGTACATATAGTAAAGATTTTCTTTTTCACATCTCTGACTCGTCTGATCGTAAAGCCATTAAAAGAGTATTTTTCACATTTGTTTGATGTGAACATTTTATCTGTTGAGAATATATAGCATGAAGATCCTGTAATGCTTTAATTTGAATACCAAAAAAAAAATTTAAGTTTCACTATTTTACTTTGTTCTCATTCTTCTTTTCAATATGTTCTTCATCTTGTTCTGGAAATAGTAATGGTTCTATATCATAAACAAAAACTTTATTTGCATTGTAAAAATATTTTATATAGTAGTAGAAATTTCTTTAGGAATTTGAATTTTCAAACTGCAGATTATTTACAATTTTATTGCACTCTTATGATTCATCGAATTTTAATCGTGCCATAGTCATCTTTTTATTTCATGACATTTTATTATGTTGAAGAAAATATTATTACCAACTTGATTTGTTTTCATTTTTAACAGACTTCCTTCTTTGAGCGAATGCCATCAAGTCTGTATAGCAAGGTATTTTTTCTCGTTTGATGTACTTTTGTTTTTTATTTAGTACATTTGACTACGATCATTTTCAATCAATTAATGAACAAAAAAAAAGTCTTATTGGTACTTTCTTTTTCTGCTATTGCATATGCGATAAATTATAATTAATACAGAAAAAAAACTTCTTGTAGAGAGACATAAGAGGCTTGATCGATATTTACTAAATCATGAAAAACATGACGAAATACTACTCGTTAAATATTGACAACTATTAGTTAACAACATCTGTGGAAAGGTCAAAAAAAATGTTGTTACAGAGCAATAAACACAGATTTATATTCTTCATTTCGTCTTCTTTATTAATCATTGGTATAAAGAAAGAAATGAAATTAACATTCAGCAG